ATCCTTTACTGAATAAGGAGGTTATTTTAATTGCATATTATAAACTTTGAAAAGTGGTGGCTAAGACTAGGAACACAGATTATAAAATAAAGAACTGAGACTCCTAACCCCACCATAACTACTTCATTCCCAAAAGTTAGAGAAAGAAAATGGGTTGACCAAATTCTTAGAACTCTAATATGTTTTCATTTATAGGGTAGAAGAGGGGAAAGGAACATAATATGCGAGAGGCAGATCAGACAGACAAAGCATCCATTCTGAAAGGAAACTTAACACAGTTCATCACGGGTACTTTGTAATACAAAAAGAAACCCAAAAACCTTCTCAATTAAAATTTATTAAAAGAGATCAAACATACAGCATGAAGTGAAAATGTGATTGTAAAGCTAAGGAAACAAACTGAGAACTATAACATCATCATTACAGATATCATAAATAAACCAGAAAAAAAAAGCAGTAGTGTACAACTAAATAAATAATTAGTAGCATTATGACTGAAGAACAAAAAGCAAATACTATAAACCCTGCCAAAGCTAAAATTCACAAGTGACTAGGGAAGAGATGTAAGAGAAAAAAGAGAAAAGGTATAAAAGTTCTAACCCCGCCATCTCTCACGGCATTAATTAATTCAGAAAACAATAACGATGCTAATTTCAGAATGTCTTTTGGTACTTCTCTTTGACTGATCTTTTAGTAACTACTAACTTTTATAGTAAAGAAATATGTATTCTAAGGTATTTCAGCTTTATTTAAGTTTTTTTTTTATTTAAGTGTATTACTTTGTTCTGTTAAATTCAAATACAATTTCAAATTAATACTTTAACTTAAAAAAACAATAGCGTAGTGAGGGCCGAGGGGGTGGGGGCTGGGTGTAGATGGGCAAAGGGGGTAAAAATGGGGGGACATCTGCAATAGTGTAAACAATAAAAAATTTAAATTAAAAACTATTATATGATCCCATTCTTATCAGAAGTTCTCTCTCGCACTCCTACTTGCCCATCTGTTCATTCAGCTATCATCCCGCTATCCAACCTTCCATTTGGATATACACAAAGATGTTCTCCAAAGTTAAAAAGCAATGGTTATCTGTAGATAGTTATTAAAGTGATTTATTGCTTTCTCTTTTTTCTATTTTCTTCTTTTTTTATTGCTTAACATTTATATTTTGTTTAAATAATACAAAAATAGTCACTTCTCTTAAAGAGAGAGGGAAGCAGGGAGAAAAAATGTATTTTACTATAGCTATATTAGTTAAATTGAATCAGGAATAACCTAGAGGCTTTCTGTCCTTCTTACTCTCTAAAATCAAGAATAAGATCTCTGGATAACAAACTTAGTGAAGTGTATTACATAATTAATGAGTAGAACACAGACAATACTAGTGTGTTCAGGATGAGAAAAAAGTCTGTGTCTTTTTTTTTTTATTTTTTTTTATTTTATTTTATTTTTTTATTTTTTTATTTTTTTATCCTCATCCGAGGACATTTTTCCATTTTTTGTACAGAGTGGGAGGGAGAGAGAGGAAGAGAGAGAGAGGGAAACATCGATGTGAAAGGGCCACATTGAGTGGCTGCCACCCGCACGACCAACCAGGGCCGGGGACAAACTGCAACCGAGGTACATGCCCTTAGCGGGAACCGAACCCGGGTCTCTCCGGACCGCAGGCGGACGCTCTAACCGCTGAGCCAAACCGGCCAGGGTAAAAAGTCTGTGTCTTAATGACAAGTTAGTTTATGGGTTGCTTTTATGTATCTTCTTACAGCAGCGATTTTCAAACAGTGTGCCACAAGAATTTTTAAAATATGCAATACCTGACTATTTAGTCAGGTAGTGACCTCTTTTCCCTTAAAGTGTCAAATAAAAAATGACGATAGTTGTCCAGTATGAATGAATAAAAATTATACCTATTTCCTTTGTCAAACATCAACTTTTTCTGGTGTGCCGCAGAATTTTAGTAATTAATTTATGTGTGCCATGAGATGAAAAAGGCTAAAAATCGCTGTCCTAGAGCTCTTGTTTACTTTTTTGTGGTATTAAGGAACCACAGGAGAGTTTTAGTTGTAAGGCCTCTGCTCACACAAAGACATTTTGCAAGGTAGGTGGCACCACAAAGACAAAAGCAGAAACAGTTCTCAGCTGTAGAGTCTGTAATAAGTCTCCATTCAAATAATTCGCGATGTCCCCACTTCACTGTTCAGTTAGGTTTGTGCACCATGTTAGACCACGATCCACACCAGCTGAGTTCTGAGATGCAGCTGATGGCACTGCCAGCGCAGCTCTCAAATGTGCACAGAAGAGATAAACGTGGCAGTTCTAACAGGCACAGAACGAGACTCACTCATCACTATCTATCTTGTAAAGTACTGCTTAGATCAGAATACATTCCGTATATAAATTTGCTTGCATGATCTTGCACAACTCCCTGATCATTTAGTAGGAAAAATAAACAAGCCAATACTATGACTTAAAATGTCAAATTTTTAAACATGGAATTCCCCAAGAACAACAGCTGGGCCCAGGTGACTTTTGGAACTACATCAGCTTTAAAAGCAAGTAATTATCTCCATTATACCTGTGCTGGTCAGGATAATTGCTACAAGGAAATACTTACACCGGATCCTACTGAGGAAGCCTTTCCTGGCTTCTAGCAGGAAGCACCTCCAGAGCCACTGCTTAGTTTCTACAGCTAACAATAAGACCCAAAGCAGTCACGTATGTTAAAACCTTAATTATTAATGTTGTATTTTATGTGTTTTAATTCTTCCTTTCAGGAGAATACATTTAAATTTTGGATTCTGTATTACCTGTAATACTTTTCTAATGCATTGTGAGACTCTACTTTTATTTTATTTATTTTTTTACAATTTTATTTTATTTAAATTTTTTCATTATTTAAATTTTTAAAAAATTTAATTTAATTCTTGTAGTATTATTTATTTATTAATTGTTGTATTATTTTTTATTATTAATCTACTTTGCCAACCCCTGTATACATATTACATATGTACATACATAAAATTCTTAAAATTGGGCACATTTTTATATTCTTTTATTTTTAGGGTTTTTTTTTTTTTTTATTTTTATTGTTGACAGTATTATAGATGTCCCCCAATTCCCCTCCCTCATTACCTCCTTCCTCCTAGCCCCTGCCCCACCCCAGGCCTTCACCACACTATTGTCTGTGTCCACTGGTTATGCATATATGTATATAAGTTCTTTGGTTTATCTCTTCCTGTATCGCCCCCTCCCCTCTGACATATGTCAGTCTGTTCCATGCCTCCTCTGGACCTATTTTGTTCATTAGTTTATTATGTTTATTAGATTCCACTTATAAGTGAGATCATATGATATTGGTCTTTCTCTGACTGGCTTATTTCACTCAGCATAATACTCTCCACTCTCCAGGTCCATCCATGCTGTCATGAAGGGTGATAGATCCTTCTTTCTTACAGCTGCATAGTATTCCATTGTGTAAATGTACCACAGGTTTTTTCTTTTTAATCACACATAAGCATTCTTATTAATAATAATTTGAGTTTTATATTTAGCACAATATCTAGAATGTTTGTCAAGGTCAAGGAAGTGACAGTATGAACTGTCAAGGGCAAGTCTGTAGTAAAATGCAAAAGCCTAAGGCAAATTTTAGACTTTTTGTGACCACTCAAAGAAACCAAATGTGACCTTAGGGGATTTACCCTCTCCAATCTCCTTTTAGCATTAGAGTACACAAGACTAACTTGGACTTGTACACAAAGACTTAACTCAATTATTAGCCAAGTTCTCTCAGCTGTTTCCTTCACCAGCCAGTTGTTCCCCCTACCCCCAAAATATTCTTTTATTTTGCACTTTAGTAATCCATCATTATTTATCAGCATTATCCTTGTACAAGCTGAATAGTGTCAATATAGATGCATGGAGCTTTACATTTGTGATATACTTCTAATTTTAAAATCAGTTACTAATAAAACTCCTTTTATGTGATGATTGGGCATGTTTCATAAATATTCTTTTTGATCAATTATATCTTCAAATTAAAATATTTTTCTTAATGAAAATGTGTGATAAATACTAATATCATGACAGGATTATTTTTTTTATTTTTTTTTTATTTTTTTAAATTTTTTTTTTTATCCTCACCCGAGGACATTTTTGCAATTTTTGTACAGATAGAGTCGGGGGGGAGAGAGAGAGAGAGAGAGAAACATCGACGTGAAAGGGACACATCGAGTGGCTGCCACCCACACGACCGACCAGGGCCGGGGACAAACTGCAACCGAAGTACGTGCCCTTAGCAGGAACCGAACCCGGGTCTCTCCAGACCGCAGGCCAACGCTCTAACCGCTGAGCCAAACCGGACAGGGCATGACAGGATTATTTTTGAAAAAAGTTTAAAAAAACACTCTAGTTTCTTATTTGAAAAAGTTTTATTTCAGATCCTAATTCTTGGTTATCATCTTTTTCTAATGGATGAATTTTTTTTTATCCTCACCCGAGGACATGTTCGTATTTACCTTCAGACAGAGCAGGAGGAGAAAGGGAGGAAGAAAGAGAGAGAGAGAAACATCGACATGATAAAGAGACATCGAATGGTTGCCACTCACACTACCCCAACTGGGCAGGGGACAAACTTGCAACCAAGGTATGTGCCCTTAACGGGAACTGAACCTGGGGCTCTCTGGTGTGCAGGCCAATGCTCTAATTGCTGTGCCAAACTGGCCAGGGCTGGATAAATCTTTTAAGGTAAAAAATGTTTCAATTTTCTCATATCCCAAAAGGATAACCTTGTGCACTGCAGATGCACACATCTTACTTTGGAGATTAAGGATCACAACATCAATGGAAATGCACGTTCACCACTGGATAACCACTTACTCTGTAACAGGGTGTCTGTCTTCTATGTTCTAGTTAAGAATTCTCTCTACCTCCCACCAAAATACACAAGGAGATACATTTTGGCATGGCACTCGTTTGAAATAAAGCAACATAAATAGCTGGCTTACATTTCTGGAGAACTTGGTTTAAGTTGTCTTGCATTGTCTCTCTACATTTGGGAAGAGTATGTTCATTTGTTTCATGGATCATATTCTTCAAATTCTCAAGAACTCTCATTTCTCGAAGACCACGTTTTTCCTATTAAAAGAAAATAAATGACTAGTACATACTGTGTCTTAAATCTTTGTAATTACTTTCTGGGATTTCCACCCAGGTTTTGGTTATGTTATTACTTATTACTGAAATGTACACAGTCTTCTTCTAATTATTTGGCAATAAATGATGTCACAATCTGGAGGCATTTTTTCATTATGAAATGTTTCAAAAGTTGAAAAGTTGCAATATGAGTAATATTTTTACAGCAATAATTTAAAATGGGCATGAGAAATACTAAAAGAACAAAAATGAGGCCTAGATTATCAAATATTTAATTCTGTACAGCAAAGAAAGATATTAGATGCCCTGGATTTGATTTTAAATTTCACTTTTTTATTCTCACCATATTATTTATACTCCATATTTTTTATCTGATTCCATTTTTCTCAAGTAAAAAAATATGAAGTAAAGGTAATATGTAAATACTTCCCTATGCAGAAAAGAGTTAACACTGAAGGCTTACAATTACTATCCTTAGAAAGGCCTTTTTGTAAGATTGGTCTTTGGCTGTGGGCTGGGAACATGATAAGTAAAAAATTCCTTACACTGGTATAAAACTTCCCATAAATGATTAGATACCTCTTTCTTTCTGGGTCTGGAATTTGGATACATGCTACACAGACATTGCCTACCTGACCAATCCCCAATGAAAGCCCTGGACTCCTAGGCTGAGGCAAGCTTTCCTGACATATGACATTTCACATGTGCTGTCACAGCTCACTGCAGAGGGAATGAAGCGCATTCTGTGTGACTCCACTGGGAGAGGACCCTTGGAAGCTTGCTTCTGCCTAGTTTCACCCAGACTCCTTCCCATGCACTTGTTTCCTTTGATGATTTTGCTCTGTATTCTTTTGCCATAACAACACTTAGCCACCAGAACAACTATATGCTAAGTCCTTGTGTTCTTCTAGTGAATCACTGCACCTGGGGGTAGTCTTAGTATTGCACCCCTCTCCCCGCATTGAGGGTGGGCTAGACTTAGCAGCTTGCTTCCACAGAGCAGGGAAAGGGAAAAATTTTAATTTGACAGTGGAAACAATGAAGGTTGACATAATCGGTGACATCATGGTGATAGCATCCCCTGATGTAATGTGATGTGAAGGGCAATTTACCTCTGTGGTACTCTTCCCAAATTCACAACCCCAGTCTGATCTTTAAAAAAAAAAATCAGACAAACCTAAATTTGGGGACATTTTACAGGATACTGGCCAGTACTCAAGATGTCAATATTATGAAAAATAAGGATAGACTAAGAAACTGTCACAGACCAAAGAGGACTACAGAGACATGACATTGGTACATTACTATTAATGAAACACCAGACCACCAGACATTATTTGGATTTCACTAGTTTTTCCATTACAGTCCTCTTTTTGTCCAGGATCTAATCCAGGATACCACATCTCTAAAAAGATTTAGGAATCTTTATTAATCTATAGATTTGCCCCCCATCACTTTTCCCACCTCGCAATTTGTTGAAAAAAAGTGAGTCACTTGTTCTTCAGTTTCCCAAAGTCTGTTTTCTTGCTGAATGTGTGGGTTGTGTACTCTCGGCTAGATATCACTAACGTTCTGTCTTAATTTATCAGCAGGAATACCTTCATAAAGAGAAACTTCCCCTCATTAACTATTTGATCATTCTGAGGATTGCTCATATATGAAAGGCAAACTAAAACACTTGATTATTTCCCTAAAACAATGATTTAGTTCCCTAGTATTCTCTAAAGGTTTCTGTTTGTTTTTACATATTTCTGTAACTCACAGATTTACAAAGATCTGAAGTTTTTCATCTATCACAGTATTTCTCCTTATTGGTGCTTAAACTGTCCTGTCTTTGTCCAGTGGGAGCCTATTCAAGTTGGCTCTGGAATGCTTTAGACAAAACTCTAGTGTTCTTTAGTAGTTTCCTTGCTTTCTAGTATGACCTGATGCTCCGGGCTCATCTTGTACATTTCCTGGCCCAGACTTAAGATCAGTAGATCTCTAAATACCACTAGTATTTAAAATTAGTATTTAGAGATTGTGCATTAGGGGTGTTCACTGCTACTGGGTTGGTCATTATTTATTTATTTATTTATTTATTTTCAAACAACTTTTTTTTCTCATTATTGATTTTTAAAGAGAGAGAGGAAGGGTGAGGGGAGAGAGATAGAAACATTGATGAGAGAGAACATCGATTGGCCACCTCCTGCATGCCCCCTTCTGGGGACTGGGCCCACAACCTGGGCATATGCCCTGACTGGGAATAAAACCAGCGACCTCTTGGTTCATGGGTGGACACTCAACCACTGAGCCACACCGGCTGGGCGAGTTGGTCATTATTTCTAGGCCTTTCAGTGGACAAGGCTAGGAAATGGGTGTTTTTTTGTTTGTTTGTTTAAAGATACATTTTAAGTTCACTCTCATAGTCAAACTTAAATTCAGGACTATCAGGTTTTTAATTACACTCCTCTGTCTCATCTCTTTCCAGTTCTCAAATCACCAACATAATTACTCATAGGCTTTATCACCAATTCAATCAAATAATACTAATACTAATACTAGCATCAACAAAATGATTGCTGAAAACAGTTTATTTTTTTGTTTTTTTGAGATTTTTGCTCTGAAAGGATATGTACAGTAAAATTATTGTGTTTTAAAGTTACTTGGAATAATTTCTCTCTGCATGGCAATGCTAATGTCTATAAACATACGTTTTCTTTTTTACTTGATTTAGAAGAAATTGCTCATTAAAATTTAATTTTAATTATGTAAAATATTTACATGGCTATAAAATTATATCTCTAAATATATATATTCAAAGAAGTCTAACTTCTACTCCTCTCCTTTGCATCCTATTCCATCACTCTTTAGGTAATTATGAAAATTTTTTTATTCCACCATTGTTTTAAGGATATACATCCACACACATCCATCCACATATATATGTGCATGTACACACACATATGTACATAAAATGTATATAAACATATATAAGTATACATATATTTTTTTTAATTCTTTCCTTCTTAAACAGAAACATAATAGACTTTTCTTATCTCACTTTATGAGTCATCCGTAAACACACACATAATATATGTAATCTTCATGTGGTCATGTTGTCTATTTGTTCTAGTGTTTAGAAAAGTTGGCATTTTTGCTCTCATGTTTATACTACTTTATGGTCTCCACTTTTTTGGCTATTCTCTACTAGTTGCCTACAATAAGCAACTACAATAGGTGACTATCTGTTCTTTCACTAGGCTTTCTTTCTCCCTCAGGACCCAATTTGAAATAGTATCCTTTGCCCTGGCCAGTTTTGCTCAGTGGTTAGAGTGTAGGCCCGTGGACCAATGAAATAGTATCCTTTACTCCCAGTTAATATTTATAAGGCAACAAGTGAGGATATTCTACTTCTCATCTACCATCCTCTCTCCTTCCATTTTTTGATAGACTGTATCTATACTGTCAGAACACAGAGCTATGACATGTTGTACTGTCTCCCCTATAATCATGGTTTAGTCTTAGTTTTATAGGTAAATCTATATTTAATATGTACCGATTGTCATTAGGTAAAATTCTCTCCAATTACTTTGTCTAAAACTCATTCTGTTGATTATATAATAGATTCCTCAGGAAAGGCTCATGTGAACAATATTCCAGAATCCTTGCATGACCCTAACAGTGTATTTGTGATTCCTATACCTGGGGGTCAGTTTGGCTAGATATAAAACCCCTGGCTGTTACTCCACTGTCTTCTGGCATAAGACAAGTAAATCTGTTAATAATCAGAATTTCTTCCACTATTAAAGGACTTAGCCATTTTGTTGGGTTGCCCAAATAATTTTTTTTCTATTAATTCCAACAGATTTATTTTAAAAATGCCTCAGTGTTGGTTGTTCTGGGTAAAATTTCCTTGAATGCAGTGTACCCTTTAATAAAATTTCATTAATATTTTTATTTCAGGAAAGTTATCTTGAATTCTAGTTTTTACATTTGTTTTATTACATTGCTTTACTTTCTTCTCTAGGGGCTCATTATCATGCATAAACTGGACTTTCTGTATCATCATTACTCTTGAATTCTTTTTATATCTCTAGTCATGTCTTTTACATTTTAAACCTTTCTATTATCAATTTCACTTAATCCATTGTGTTTAGACACCCTTGTGTTCCTTCTAGTTTAGTTTTCATTTCTAAATCACTTTTTAAAGTTTCTTTTTCCTGATATTTTTCACTTTATCTTTTATTTTCTCTATTTCTATTTTATCCAATCATTTATGAGTTTTTGTTTTTTTTAATTCTGACATACCCTTCTTTCCTTGCTTCTATAATTTCCTTACAATTCCTAAGCTCATTTAAAAACATTAAGTTATAGTTTTTATTTTATTTTTTTGTCATCCTATCTTTCTTACTTTCATTGCTTTAAAGAATATTTTTCTGCTCTTCATCCTCTAATAAATTTGTATGGGATTTGACTCCTGCTTAAAAAGTGGAATTTAGTTTTCCTCTATCTTGAGAAGGGAGGAGTGGTCAGCACAACTTTTCCAACTTTGCTCTTTCCCAACCTTGTTCTGGAAAGGGGCAGACTGCCTGCTTCAGCTCCATGAGACTTGCCTGTGGTTTGCTAGCATTCATAAACTGGAGCCTGTGAAGTCCCTTCCCAGTTTCTGCAGATGTTCTCAGACTGGAGCATCAAGCTTTTTACAGATACCTAATGGAGATTTTGAGGTTTCCTAGCACTCAAGGCTTCACAAGACCCTCTGCCTTTTCTCCTCTTCCTCTTGCAGTTTCTTATGACACAAAAGCCTTTCAGCTGTTGATCTGGTCATTTTGTATTTTGAGGATAACTTTCCCCCTGGTTTTATAGATGTTGCTTGGTTTTGCTATCCTAATTGTTCTGTTTTTACAAACAGATTTGAGGAGAAAAAATAAAATTATACTACAGCTGCTGCCATCTTCTCCAGATGTCATTGTAATTTGGAAGAATACAGATGAGAAATT